CACTTATAATGGGGATGCATGATATTAATAAAACATGCAATTACTATTTTGACTATTGCAATAAAGAAATACAAGGCTATGAATGGCCTGTGCGTACCAAAGTAAAGGCTGAAGCCAGGGGTGGACTGAACCCAGACAAAAACAGGACCAAACTTTTATCAAACCAGCAATGTTGGCATAACATTAATACATGCATCCCGAATCTCAGACTTGCGGTCATCACGCAATGTATACCAGGAAAGGTCCTCCAAAAAAGTGAGCATCAAACCACCACGTTTGATTTTCCAATGGGATGCGTCTATTATCAAAGCCAATATTTTCAAGTCTTTTGAACCATATCGCTTTTGTTTCTGGTTCTGATATTGTCATATTTTAGTTTTGGGATTCGGACATCGTAATTGTGTGGTTGTTGGATGTCCTAACAGCGGAAAATGGCTCAATAAATGGGCTTTGGATGTTTGCGAACTCCATAACTGCAAAAGGGAATCAGATCTGTGTGTCTGCAAACCTCCATTCAAACTGTTTTGCTTCCCAACAGAAATGAAAAATAGTGAAAGGCGAAGGTGATGGGCTGCCTAAGAAATCATCCCAAGTTTGCAGCGAACATTTTGTATGTGGAGTGCCAGCAAAACAAAATCCCGATCCCTCGCTCCACCTTGGTAATGAATGTAAAACATCAACCCCAAAGCGAAAGGCACCAGCTGTTCGCCAAAACACGCCTTCTACTGCGACCAAGACGTGATGTTCCTGTAAAGTCAGTCGAAAAAGAAAGTGCTAGCTTAGCTTCTAGCTTAGCTTAGCTTAGTCTTCTGTACCTCTCGCTTAACAAACAGGATTTTCTTTGGTGGCGCTCCACATACAAAATGTCTGCTGCAAATTCGGGATGATTTCTTAGGCAGCCAAAGGTTACCTTTTTCATCCTTCCTGTGTATCAATACTGCCCATCGCCTTCGCTTTCACTATTTTTCAATTCTGTTGGGAAGCGAAACAGTTTGAACGGAGGTTTGCAGTCACACAGATCTGATTCCCTTTAGCAGGTTTGGAGTTTGCAAACATCTAAAGCCCATTTCTCGAGCCATTTTCCTGTTAGGACATCAAACAACCACACAATTACAATGTTCAAATCCCAAAACTAAAATATGACAATATCAGAACCAGAAACAAAAGCGATATGGTTCAAAAGACTTGAAAATATCGGCTTTGACAATAGATGCATCCCACTGGGAAAACAAACATGGCGGTTTGATGCTCACTTTTTCAGAGGATTCTTCTCAGTATGCACTGAGGGGTAATGGAAATGAAATTTGTTTTAATCTGATGCCAAGTTATAAAGGGGTAGTATAATGCTATCAATGCAATACCAATATCAGTGAGGTGTGTATTAGCACAACTAGCTCATTCTATGTAAGCAGCTACTGTATTTAGTCTTATACAAACTGCTTCACTCCACAGTGCACCAGCAGATGGAGACCTTGCGCCCTCTTCTAGCATATATTTGTAGTGGACCAGATTTTATTTCTACGTAACTTTATTTATTCCAATCGATTATGCACTCTCCAGCTATACCTCTACACATCCAACTGGCAATACATTCATAGAAATAGATCCTGCCACTTCCTGTTTACACTATCTATATAGCTGGAATAAAATCCGGTACTCCATATGTGAAATGCCACTATTTGCTAACAATTTAATGATTATAGAACATACAAGACTGTAAAAGTGAAGTAAAAACAAACGACCAAAAAAATCTAATTAAAGCAATTAAAACACAACCTGTCACTTCCACATTTATAACCTTCTTGTTTACATAGCAACAACAGATTTAACTGTACTTCACACAAACCAGTAGACAAATGACAAACAAATGACTATTTTAGCACTAACCAGAGAATCCAGACGAGGGAGATCTTCTAAAAGCCATGTTTAGCACGCGTTTCTGCTCGTCTCACTGTGCCATGCTGCTCTGTCATTCAGGCAGCCATATTGGAGTGGCCAGTGGCAGGTGGAGGAGCCCCGGTACAATCCTTAGCTGTAGGAAGCTTAGCCACACCGGGATAAACCGTCTGTCCAAATGGCAGGGGGCAACATCTCTGCATCTTAGCCTATTGGGCACAGTTGCCTAATCCCAAACAGACTGGCCCATGCACTGAGGTTGGCAGTAACACAAGCACTGCCCAGACTAGATTAGGGGTTCACTAATGTGTATTAATGATTGGCCTTCAGGTGCTGGACAGGCCAGGCTGTGTGAAACTGTAGGGTTTCCTTAATACACTTGGGGATAAGCAGGAGTATTGGCAGAGAAAATGAAACTTACACAATCTTTGTCAATAAGAGGTTCATGTCAGGTAAAGGTCTTGGTTAAATTAAGATTATTAAATTAAGAAGCCAACTGGAAGCTTGTTGTGGATTTATAAATGCAAATGATCAATGGAGGATAGAAATAGAAATGGACAGATATGTCATTATTATTTTTGGCATACAACAAATTTGGTTCTGATAAGTAAAAAATCAGCCTCTATAAAAATGTTGCATTGCTTTTTAAAAAATAATTCAAATTACAGACAAAGAAAAGATCTTAACACTACAATAGTTAATCTGGGAAAGTCCATGACCTTGAGCCTTTGTAGAAATCATGGTCTAAATACCACCATCAAATTGACTAAACTTACAAACATCCATTCACAGTTTAAATCAGATTACATTTCAGATCATGCATAGGATTATAAAGTATTAGTTGACCTACTGACCCAAATTAATTCAGGTAAAACCATTAGCAGGTCATGATCCAATGGTGGAGAAGTAGCTTAGTCTAACCTGCAAAAGGCCATGACATTTATTGTTGCTATTTGAGTCAATCCTACCCTCTGGTAATGTTAAGGCGGTCTGTGTTTGTTTTATTTGATTTCAGGCAGGAATGAGTTGCAGTACAATATGTTGTCAAATTAGTCTTTTCCTTCCTCCTTAGTCATAGTCAGATTTGTCCAGTTGCCCTGGGGTAGACTGCCAGAAATGGCAGAACTTCCCCTTTACAAAACAAAGTCTAAATCTAATGGTTTAACAGAATAGTCCAGAGTATATAATGTAGTTTAATCCAGTCGTTCAGGCCCTCCTCTACCTGCCCTGTAGCCCTAGCTGCTCCTCCTGACTAATTGCCCGGGCCCAGTGTAACTGATGCTAAATACAGATAGTGTTAGGGGGGTGTCCGGTGTCATGCTGTGTTCTGTCAGGGAGACTATCTGATGTGGCAGCTCCCACTCGAGTGTCAGTCTCACGGGCACACACCGACAGCCCGCCCCTTTAAATATTTAAGGTGTAACTTTAACAAGGAGGTTTTGTAAGTGAGGAAACCGCCAAGAGGTCAAGTTTGGACCAAGGCTGGGCATTAAAAGGTCAAGGGTCAGACGACTGAACACAAGTGGTCAGGCAAGAGGAAATGTAGACTTTAATGAAAACAGAGTCAAGTGGAAGTAAAAGATATCAGAACCACAGACTCTTAAAAATATGTATTCTTATTGCTTGCAAACTAAGTTCAGTACACGCTGTGGCACTGAACCTATTTTTCTAGCTAAAAAATACCTTGAAAAAAATGTATTCTTATTGCTTGCAAACTTTCCCCTCCACAGATCTGTGCTAAAACTTGGCCTGGTGGTGCTACTATCGTCTAGCCTGATTCATCAGCCAGTGTCACTTCGTGGACACCGTCTGACCAGTATTACAATTCATTCGCTCAATGGTAGGAGGGGACTTTTTTTATTTAACCAATCGCTGCTATTTGGTCCTGACATATATAATGCACCAGTAACGGGGCTAACTAGTATATTAAGCTTTTCCCAAATCTCATAGGAAGAAGAGCAATAAAGTCTTTCCCCTTGATAAAATTCACCAAATATTGTCTTTGTTCCGGCTTTAAATCCTTGATCTCGAGAATCATTGCCAACACAGAGTGTATGGCTCTTTGCTGATTGGCTTGTGCCGGGACTCTCACTTCCAGGGTTCTTACAAACCATCTAGTGTATTCCGATTCCTGACCTATTCGCTGGAGAGAAATGAAATTGAGCAGAGCCACTAGGTGGTGCCAGCCTGGCTAACTATTGTCCATGGATAAAATAGCGACCTTAAATTTGTACTTACTTTGTTTCATTAGAAGCACACATCGAACTCAAACTCAAACTCAAGCACAGCATTTCCGCTGTGACCTCATATGCACATCCAGTGTGAGAGATAAAAATGTAAATAGGGCCATATGACCAGATGTCATCCATGCCACTGTAAATGCATTAAAACCCTTATACGGTCGTCAAGCAGCTTATACATGGAAGCAGGCAGAAATAGACAGAAGTGCATGACTCCAACTTGTCATAATCACTATCATAAACATGTACAGCACAGGCCTATAGCTTAGATCTATAGAGAGGTTATGTCATTATATATTATAGATGATTCTACTACCAATAGCCTCTTAAAGTACAAGTGATAGTATTACCCGGTAGTACAGTAAATAAAGCTGATAGATAGATCTTACAAGGGACCACCATGAGAAAGACAGATGAGGCAAGATTTCATTAGACAAAGGATTAGTCCAACCTAGTCAGTCCTGGACGAGCCCTCAAATTCCACCCTGGGCCAGCCTCCAAAATGCTGCTGATGTGAACACTTGTAAACTTTCATTCTTATTCAAAACATGTTCTTGCAGATGAATCCTTGAGCTGTTATATCAACACCATTGCTTCAGTCCTTTGCTCTGTCCATTAGCCTGTTCAAACACAACTAACTCCTTATAACAGTTTCTAATAATAAAATCATTTGCACTTGTTGTAATGTGTGAGGGCTCTTGAGCAACGCAGCGTGGAGACTTATGCAACAGCTCAATTAACCTCCAATACCAGGTCCTGAACTCAACTCCACCTCTGATTGCTGAAGACAGAATACGAGAATTCAAGTGGACTTTCTGAGAGTAAAGATGAGAGGAGCAGAGCAGTTTGAATGCATAGACTCACTTGACTGATTTCCCCTGTTGGTTGATCTGGTTCAAGTCTTCCTGGACAGAAGCTAGCGGGAATCAAAATAAATCAATGCATACAGCTCCATTTTGGGACATCCTCCTCCCCCGAGATTGCGCACACCTGTCAGAGGCGATTCTGTGAAGGAGAAATGATGATGGTTCATGTGGAAATAAATCTAAAAACATGTGACAGGAATAAATATAAAATGCAGGTAGTAAATAAACAGAGCAGAGGTAAGAATTAAAAGCAAAGGTGTTTTATATAGGTGTATTCATATAGATTTATGTAACACCTGGTTGTCTGACTGTTCTACCTTCAGTTTTGAAAGGCAAGCATGTAATTTAAAGCAACTTTCTGGAGGTGGCCTGTCACCTATATGATTACATGGAAATAGATAGTTAAAACCACACTTCGGAACATTCTTCATGTTGTTCTGTGGAATACTACACAAGCAGGACAAGGCTCTCCTCCAGGCCAAATATTAGTCAGTTTTGTGGAGACGAAAGCCCACTCAGAGTAAGGATGGATGTTTTTTTTCTACGTTTCTACAACACCGAAAAATGAAACATAGAAACATCCTTTTTTTTTTTTTTTTTGGTCAAATATTTATCCAGAAGCTTTAAATTGTAGTTTGTTTATGTCCAACACTTTGAACAATGTAATAAACAAGTGTATATTATGTTTTTGTCTTTATAGGTGAAATAATAAGAAAAGGGTCCCATCCCAGATCTCATAGGGTGGAGCATTTCTGTGCAGTTTTAATGTTTAAGAGGATGCTCGGTTTTTCTCATTAACTCAAAAACAACAGAAAGCTTTATCTTCCAGCCATGTACAGTACTCCTGACCAGGATGGTGGTACAGATCTGCTGTAATCCATTGAAAAGTGGGTCAAATGCAAATATTTTGTTTCATCCGGGAAAACTAAATGAACATGTCCTTCAAAAACATGCTCAGTGGAGTTGTCTTCCATTATAATTTATATCCCATTTAAATTTTTATAGAAAATGTAATCTGTCTTTTGTTTATATGCACAGCACTTTTGAAATCAACGACGATAAACTTACAGCTCAAGGCCATATACAGACACACAATATAGACTAATCCAGTTAGCATTAGCAATTGAAATGTATGGAGCAGTGACACATTCCCACCTCCTCACACCATTGAACAAAACAGGAACCAGAGCTGAGAATTGAGTGTGTAGCTACACAAAACAATTGTACAATATATTTGTTTTGTCACATTATGTTTCTATAATAATTAAAAGATGACATATTTGAAGATGTGAACTTTCAATATATGTATGCTCCTAAAACCCCAACAATTTCCTTTTTTTTTGTTCGTTTGTTTTTAATAAATCATTATAGAGCAGCCAAAAAGAGGATTTACATAATGAATATTCACTATGTTTATATAAGAGAAAGGCAACAAATAGCAACCTCTTGTGGTCACTTAGAGCATGTACAGTGAGTTTATTGGAATTGGATTCATACAGATGGTATATAAAATAAAAACGGTTCACAGATGCTGTTCCAGCCATGGTTGTGGTTGATAAAACTCATAATTGACAAAAATATATCAAATAATTTCAGCTATTTCAACTTGGTAATAATTAACTTGGACAAAAAGATGAGCTTTCACATAATAAAACATTTAAAAGGCGCTAAATGTTACTTCTTCCAGTGGCACGACTGTGTAAACATAAAAAGCACTGACCAGCAGGTGCTAATGTAACATGGTAAGAACATTTCAATGATATGTTTTGATAATATTTAAGTTCCAGTATTTTACTTCTTTTTCTACAGTTTAAGAACTTTCTTGGTTTTCTACATGAATAAATATTACAACAATACATTCTGGTTTGGTCAAATAGGAAATAATATTAATGTTATACTTTAAATAGAATAGAAAATTTACATGTTTTCAATTTAATCATCCTGAGTTTTAAAGAGGCAGGCCAATAATCTGTGAAAAAATCACAATGAGAACTAGTAACAGTATCTTAGCAGAATTAGCACAATTGCAATAGCATATAATTTATTTACATTATCTTTTAGCACATTGATTCATTAAGGTCAATAGTCATCCTTATTGTAACATGGACCTTGCATGCGATTTTTGACAGTGAATCCTAGGTAGATCTTTTTTCCACTCCCTGTTTTATGCCGAGCACCAAGTGAACAAACCAGTTGATCTGAACCATCCAGCCTTTTTCTCTGCATATCTCAATTTGGTCCAGCAGGTGGCGCTGTGCCTCATCATCACTGCGGCCCACGGTCAGAGCCTCCCGGATGTACTCGATGTCCTCTTTACTGGTCAGCTGGGGCATTCCTGTGAGAGGAGATTAAATATGTCAATTAATATGGAAATATTTTTCATAGAGCTCCTGGAATTAGCCAGTGAAAGGGTAAAACGACTTTATCCCACACCACTATAAGAGGGCAAATGATTTTCCAAAGCCAATGATTTCTAAACTTCTTTAGTTATTATAAGTCTGTTAACTAGTATAAGGTAGAATTCCATTTTCCTGATTTAATCATATTTTTACCACAAGTTTCCTACTGAAACATTATTGAATGTGAAGTCTTCAATCTGAACTTATTCCAATTATTCCAAGTTCCCACTGGTAAGTATTTTCATACCCCCCCGGTGCCCTTGTGCCCCTAATTGGGAAATACAACTCACAGTCTGCCGAGTGGCCAGTCTAAACACAGAAATAATTGGAAAAGATTTGGCACCATCAGAAGTATAATACTCCCTACAATGGAAGCAGACGGTACTACACTAGATTGAATATCATAATGTCTTTAGGGCTGATGTTTCCAGGTCCTGTACTGATGGTAAATAAAATTCTCCTGTGTTAGAACTCCGGCGTCATATGTCTTCTCTTCAACTCTCAGGTTACTGCAGGTTATTCTACAACAGAGCCCCAAATGCAACGCTTGGGGTTTGAGGTCAGATTTAGTCGAGATCTTAATCAGGACCACCTAGATGGAGTAATTGTACCTACTGTGCTTTTTAAGTTCATTTAAATGGGAATTGTGACAACCAGAGTAAAAGTACCATCATTGTATGATTCACATTATAGAGCTTCATTACAAGCTTTGAACAGTGAATGCAATCTCAATGAAATCTTCTTGATAGAAAATAAAAGAGAGAATTCTAAATACCAGTCATGAGCATCATGGAGAAGAGGATGATGAGGAGGTTTGTGTGGTGTCGAAGAGCGAGATATGCTTTGACGCACACATCCTGAAACAAAAAAGAAAGAGATCGGAAATATAAATATAAACAATAAAATATAAAACAATTAGGGCTGGGCACGTTAACATCTTAATTTTGCGTTAACTAATTAAGGCATTAACACCGATAATTATTTTAACGCCGTTTTTATTATTTATTTATTTAATTGTAAACGTCTGTTTCTCACTGGCTTTTATTTTGAAAAAGTCCACCGCGAGAGTTTCTTTAAGTTTGACGTCTTTTCTTTATACTTTTTTCACTTTTTTCTGACCACGTGAGATGCAACGTATCCAAGCCTCTGCAAGCCGCAGGCCCGGCTGCGTGTCCGGGCACAGGCTCTGGCTCCGGCTCTGGACATGGGTTCGGCCACTGGTTCGGCCGCGGGCTCCGGCTCTGTCCGGACCAACCGTGCGTGTCACTGATTTACCCAGATACCATTGGAAGAAAAATTGTGATTGGTCCATTTCCATTCCATTATATTAACCCTTTGTTTCCCAAGAAATATCAGTCCAAGTTTATAACATTGATCTAGAAATTATTATTAGTGTAGTGTTTATTACTCACTGCATAAAAAATATTCATAAAATATATTAGTAGTACAAAAGTCCATTCAATATTTTTTTTCTTGAGCCTTCACTGAATACCTGAGAGTTCCCCTTTGAAAGAAATGCTGTTTGCACAACAAATGTTTGGCTCTTTCATTTACATTTCCAATAAAAGTGGGCTATACTCTACTTTTTAATTCATTAATTGGTTTTGCGTATAACATACGATTAATCGTGGTTAATTTTTTTTTTTTTTTTTTTGCCCAGCCCTAAAAACAATACATTTCCATGCACATTGCACAATTCCAATGTACATTATTGCTACAGAAATGCGCACCTGGAATTTCTGGAAGTTTGGGCTGCTCTTCTTTCCTGATGTTCCCATCACGTAGAGGAAGTCAGGAGTGAGCACAAATGGTACCCACTCTTTACTGATGCCCATGAAGCTCTTGTAGTTTCCCAGGATGTGGCCAAAGTCGATGTGAAAGAGGTTTCCTGTTATCAGTAAATATCACAAGGTTAGACTCTGTGGTGTGTTTTTGTTTTATTTGAGTCCAGCAGCCCACATGTCCAGACCTGACTCGGTGATCATGATGTTGTCGTTATGGCGATCTCCAATCCCGAGGACATAAGTGGCCACACAGTATCCTCCACAAGAGAACAGGAACCTCTCTACGGCCTGCTGGAACTGAAATAAGACAGAATAAAGTGTAATCAAGTTTAATTACTTTTTGATTCAAGTTCAGAGAGACTAGGAGCATCCACAGATTTGACAGAAAAGCATTTACTGTTGTAGAAAATTAGCCAGAGTAAATTATGTAAATGCAGCATACTACATACAAAACTTAGTTAAAGCACTTGAGTTTCCCCCAGTTAATGATCACTCAAACACATTTTACTCAATCCTTATTTTATATGTTTTGCATTGCTACTACCAAAAAAATCATATAAATTCATGAACATATATTTGTATTTTCTTTGTCAGTTAAGAACTATATAAGCTATTACAATTGAAAACAGCATAATTAGTTGACATACTTTTTTTCTTATGAAGTATGCATTGCCCTTGATCATTCGTAAACAATACAAAAATAATGATAACTTAAAAATACGTTTCTATAAAAATCAGTCATCCACTTTTTAGGTGAGACCTCCATAATAAATATACAGTATGTTGTCTGCACGCAGTCAAATCCCAAATATCACACTTTGTTGACTCCCCCAGGACTAAACATGGAGTTATCTCAGTTCATCCTGACCATAAGAGACAGTCCTCTACATTGACAATGTTTAAATCCAGACTTTAGCTGTGCAGGTTTTTATTCTGCACTCTTCTCTTAATTTCTCAATTTTATGATGATTATTTATATTTCATTTGTTTTTGTGATTTTAATGTATTCCTGATCATGTAAAGCACTTTGAATTACTTTATGTACAAATTGTCCTATACAGATAAATTTGCCTTGCTTTTGACTGAGACACAAACAGTTGGCGCAGGTGTTAGAGCTAAAAGTGGAGTCAGTCAGAATAATGGCGTGGGCTGCTTCCTTCCTGTCTGTCACAATGTCATTTCCTCTGAAGGCTAAATAACACAGAGGCCTGAGACAAACACACAACTACTCAGCCCCAATCTAAAAACTATTCAAAATAAAACAAGACACACTTGGATCTGTAACTTAGATCTTACCTTGTCTTCACTGACGCACTTGTCCCGGAGCCATTGGTACAGGATCTCATCTTTAAAAGCCCCAGTGCTGCCAACCACACTCTGCTGGATGTTGGCAATCGTTGTGGCATCTTTCACAATCTCAATCATCCCTAAAGTAATGGAAGACGCTTAAAATATTTGAACATAACTGGTGTTTCTTTGTCAGTGTTATTCAGATTTCCTTACCCGTTACTAAATCGTATGTAGCATTTCCGTATATATTATTATTAGACAACCATGTGATTTAGAATTGTATATCCTGGTAGGGTTACTCCCAGTGGCTGGTTTGCTTTTATGATTTGTAAAATGATGTTATGTGTATTATGATTGATGTCTTTGTGTGTAGTCCTACTAATTAGCATTTTATACAAATGGATATTCCTGTTTCCTTACATTAAATAAGCCAAAAAAGCTAATCCTCCAGCTATGATTATCCCATGGTATGAGTAATAGTCCATTTGAAAAGCACTATAGACACACTAAAATCTAACAGTTTTTTTGTTTGTTTGTTTGAGTGAAACTGGGCATTCCTATTAATCTTTTTCATCAAAATTTGCATTCGGCACTCATGAAATCTCTTTTTAATCCACCAAACGAAAACAAAATCTCATTCACTCCTATAAGCTCCTGTTTATCCCCTGTACTGGACTGACCTATCCTGTTGCCGGTGGAGATGCAGCCGTAGGGCAACAAGCAAAGATCCAGGGACTCAGTCTCCCAGATGGACTCCATGATCAGCAGAATCTACAGGGACACACACACTCGTGTAAGTATGATATGACATGAGGGAACAGAGTAAAAAATAGTACTATATAGATATTTTTGGGGACCTGATACCATTACTGTTGTGGTCAATAACTGATACTTGTTGATACAGCTACAACAATTTTAGTAAAATTGTAGTAAAATTAAATTACATAATTTGATTGAAAATAATCAAAATATGCTCAGCCCAAAAATATGGCCTTTGAGTGCTCTGGATGCTGATAGAAACATATTTGTCAAACTTTTATACTTATGTTAAGTTATAGCAAAGTTCACATATTACACAATTAAACAAATTTTCACATGAGGTCACAGAATGTCCCACCTGCAGTATGAGCATGTCTTGTCTGAGGTCGTCCCCGTCCTTAAATATGATCCCTATGGGGTCTTTACACAGAGTGGTGGGATCCGCTCTTTTGAACTGTAACCACACCGGCTTCTTCTTAGATGCCATCACTTTACACTGCTCAATCTGCAATCAACAAATGACAGCGATAAGTGACTCATGAGTCATGACTATAATAAAAGTCTCATCCTCACTACTGTAAATAAACATGTGCAGTGACAAAAACATTTGCTGTTCACTGCTGATATCTAAAAGTCTCTGTCACATACTACAATTTTGTTTTTAGCCTTTTGTTCTATGTAGGTTACTTTGGTTTTACTCATTATTTCTCCTAAGTAACTATTTTTGTTCAGTTCTGGTGTGTTGATTATTTCTGTGTTTTCACATTGTATATACAGTCACAAAAGCATGGTTTAGTCCAAATGTAGGCATTCCACTTGGTCTTGTTTCCTTGTATTAAAACTGTATTAGAAGTTAACTGAACATTGATTATAACTGTATGTCTGGACAATTGCATTAATAACTGATGTGTACATATATTCTCACCAGTAACGCTCCGGCCCTCAGTCCTGGATCATAGGGGACTCTGAAACTTTCTGGTAACCCAGACGATTGAAGTGCCTCCAGCTTCTGACGCAGTTGAAACACCACTGACAGAAAGCACAGTCTCAGTCACTACAGTGATTCTTCACATGATTTAACAACATGTACAGAGCTTAAGGCCTGCTACAGTGTAATAATAATATTATTCTTTACAGTCTTTACCTTGAGCAGTGATGTCATATTTGTCTGCTGACATGGCCTTAACCTCACGAGTCACTTTCTGCAAAGCCTCTGTCGTTTCCACCTGAAAATTCACCGTAAAACAAAGTATGTGTTACATTCATGTGTAGAGTATTCTTTAAGATATTTTTATGCACAAATAGTCAGCAATATTTCTTTCTGATGACTTCCCCAATTAGTGGATGTTATAGGAACATTTGTTATGAATATGTTTAAAGCACTGATCTCAAAATAGGGGTATTAGTTATTTAGTTATTAGTATTTAAGACAAATAATCTTGCAATTTATTGTTAGATAATTATTACTTAATAATTAGTATATAAAAATGTGTTTTGGATTCATATGCTTGCTAAGTATTTTTAAGATAAAATATCAAAAATGTCATCTTGCATGTTGCTATTGTTTGAAAAGGGTAAAATATATATCCCAGCTTATTCAAAATACAGACTTATTTTTTATTTGTATTTTTTCTCTTTGTTTGTGCTGTTACTTCATCTTTTACGTGTGTTACTTTTACTATTTGTCACCTGTTTCCTGAAGTCAAGCAGCATGGCCTCCCCACAGCCTCTGAGATAGGCCTCCAGCAGCACAGCGTACCTCTGCTGATAGTGCATGGACTGAGCGATCTCACTACGCAGAAACCAGAATAGGAAATGCCCAATACGCTTACTCTGGATTTAGGCACAAGAGGAAATACACTGATTTCACAACAACTTTTTAACAGTGAAACTGCAGTATACAGTAATTATAGCTTACCCTCAGAGCTCTTTTCAGCAGGAACCTGACCAGGGCACTGTCATGGTAGGGCTCAAACTTCACAGCCTAAAGAAGATACAGAATAAAACTAAACTTAATGCGCACTATGTAACTATTTTGGTGGAAGGTCCACTATCTGTTTCTCTCTATCGAGTTGTTATTGCTTACATAAAATATTCCACCAGAATATGTCGCTAGTGGAGAGTTTAATGCCATACTTTGGAATATTAAAGCAAAGCAATAATATCTCCATGGAGACAAACAGGTGATGAAATCCCCATGAGAAAATCACATTATACACATTTTACAATTGTGTGTTGTAAAATGTAGAAAATTGTAGTCGTCAAAAGGTTTGTGTTGACAAAAAATAAATAAAAATGGGCAACACAGATAAGGAAGAATATGCTAATTTGTAATACCTTTTCATTTTGGGAGATGCTGTAAGAGAATTTAAGTAATTTATCTTCCACGTACATCTCAGTTTAACATTGACTCACAAAAGCTATATTTACACCACAATCTTCCCTTGGCATACCACTGGCATAACATTATCCAAATTGCGGCATTTTGCTGTCTAACTGGTGTCTACTGGCCTTCATAGTCTCACCACTTGCTTTATAAACCTCGTCCTTTGGAAGCATAGTCAAAGGGGTCTCCCTTTTAATTCCACCCTTTCTTGGACAAGCTGAAAACTTCGAGAATGGATACTAAATGTTTCTTCTGCCACAGACCTGTACAAGCTGTAGCAGATATCGGAGCACATCATCGTCTTCTAAAGTCTCCAGTTTCCTCACAGCCATCGAGCGAACCTGAGCGTCTGAGTAGTGACAGTCTAACAGCTGCATGGCCAGGCCCACATCCAGACCACTGCAAAAACAGTTCATAAGAAAATACCATAGACTATATACAGTCTATAATGTGAAAACAGAGAGATAATGGCAACATATAGAAGACAAGTACAGTGAAAGTGATGGTACCTTGTGTCCCATGCACTGCTGCGCTCCAACAGCCGGTGTGTTGCCAAAACGTCCTCTTGTTTACCCCACCGGACCGAGCCCAGCAGCTTTGGGTATGCTCTGAGAAAAAAAAAAAAACATCCACATATGACAGAGGCTGGGAAGATTTAGTAGTTAAAGGTCCTATATTAGCCATAATTGACTTTTGTGAACTATGAGCTATGTTATAATGTTACCCCCTCAAAAACATATCTGGAGCAGTTTTATTTCATTCACACATGTTTGAGTAATCCTTTCTTATTAGGCTGTCTACATCTCTAAAGTGCAACATGCTCTGCCCCTTGAGGTGTCATGAAGCAGTAGTTTTCAAATTAGGTTCAAAAGTGTTCAATTCCAGGGCTGAGATTATCCATATTATTCTACAGAAGGGGTATGGAGTTTAAAAACACAGTGGAGATCTTCCTTATTACCACATGATATCACAAGGAGTGTTTTCTGTTTGAGAGGAGAACTCAGCCTAAATAAGTAGAGTTAGTGTTAAACCTGTGTGAATGAAATATAACACAACTTTCTGATGAGGAAACCACATTATAACGATCAGGAAATTCCAAAATATGGGCCTCTTTAAGGATTCTCATCGTTTCCTATGGACAGAATTTGCAAGATTAGTTTACATTGTTACTCATACCTGGGGTGCTTCATACACTCATGTCGGAAGTGCCACAGCAGCTCCTTGTCTTCTGGGCTGAGCGGGTGCAGAGGATCCGTGCTCACTATGGCCTCAAACTGTTTCCTCAGATGATTGGGCATCTCCCTTTGCCCTCTCACCCCTCCCTCACCCTCCTCCCCTCCTCCAGCGTCACGTGGCACGTCTCTGCCCGTGTCCCGACTCTTGGGTAGCACCACGGGGTAGCAGTACTTGTCCAGCAGGATTGAGATAGCCATAGATGAAGCTTTGTCAGGGTTGGTAGCAGAGGTTAGCTTGTCTGCGTTGATGCTGCTGCTGCTCTCCTCACTTTTCTCAGGCATCTTCCACATGTGAAGGATGAACTCGCCCTGACGCAGCAGAGAGCGGTGGTCGATCAGAAGCAGGTTCACGTAGTACAGCAGGCGATTCTTGCACTTTCCTTGGAGACAAAACAGAAAAAATATATTTTATTTCAATGGTTTTCAAATGTGGGACTGCACACTTCTAAATAAGGACTAACCTAAACAATGACAGACATGCGGATTATCTCTAAATTCAGCAAATATGTGAACTGCAGAGGAATCTTGTGTACTACCAGGTGTGCTGATCCCTCACCAGATGTTACACAGTGCACCTTAAGTTTGCTTTTATCCACTTTAAGTAACCTTAAATTAACCTTAATCCAATAACCAAAAATGACTGTATCATGCTCTTGCCATTAACAAAGAGAGCATGGTAAGAAGTCATATCTCAAAAGTTTTAAAATGCAAATTCCTTTTTGAATTTGTTTTGTTTATGATTTCCACACAGGTATACCTTCACGACTAGCTGTGTCAGATGTATGATCCTGGTAGGCGGAGCCTGTCTTGGAGTTTGGGGTCTGGATTTGTTTCCCACACACAACCTAGAATAAAACATTCAGTACATAAAGAATGAAAACTGCTGCAATATAAGTATAAGAAGTATGAGGTTACCTGGAGGTTTAGACGAGCCCCTTTTGGTAAATCCTTGATTTTAATACTGAATTCCAACCAGCAATTCCACAAAACCTCTTCAGTGAATGGTTTTGAAGTGGTTCGTTCCTGAAACAAAGAACTGGTTTACAGTAGTTATAATATACAATGTTAAAACCATAAATTGTAAACTTCTCCAAGGAGATAAGATAAGTTTTATGCCATAATATGGAAGATTACATTTCCATGGAAACAGGCAGGAGGGGGTTCTCCAGGCCAAATAAGAGCCAGGTTTATAGAGTTGCAAGCCTGCTCAGAGTAAGGATGCAAGTTTTTCAGTCCTATAAAAACTACATACTTGGCTTTAAGTCCTAATTTAATTTAGATCTGGTAAAATACTAGTTAGTATGTTACCTGAGCTAGGAGCTGTTGTCCGTGAAAGATGCTGGCCTCGATGTAAACAATGAGCTCGGAGGTTTTGGGCAGAATGGGAATGTCCAGGCCCAGAATTTTCACCCTGAACTTTCTGTTACAGTCCCACATGGAGACGGTGAAGACTCGCTCGTGGTCCTTCTCATCAATCGTCAGCTGCTCATGGGTGCCTTTAAAAACATTATATTAAAATTATTCAGTTTGTTGGCCAAGGTAGGGATTCTTCAACTGGGGGTTTAGTTTTGATTTGCAAGAATCTTCACAAGATTCTTGATTTACATACTAACATGTGCAAACCACATCACTCAACTCAACATTCTAAACTAACTAAGTAAACAGTTGAAACAACTGAAAATATATATATATATATATATATATATATATATAATATATATATATATATATATATATATATATATATATATATATATATATATATATATATATATATATATATATATATATATATATATATACTGAACAATTTCATTTTAGGAAAAAAATATTTTTTTCTTTTAAGTTAAGTCAGATTTTAAAAGAGGGCAGCAGCGCTGAACTTGAAAATTACTGAAAAAACACCTGCGACTCCAGTGCAGTCATCCACTTGTGCCCAGTCCTCTTTTTGGACCACGTCAAGATCTGGATCTGGGGGTCTCTCTAAAACCAGGTGAATTTCTTCTCCATTTTTCAGACACTGTCGAATCCAGTTAAAGTTCTGCAGAGGTTTGTCTCCATACAGAAACTCCTCCCTGTAGTAAATAAAAATATAAAGTGTTTTTTTTTATGTATAATATTTAATACTGATGATGACTGTACCTTCCACAAACGCGTAACACGTAATCATCTTCACTCATGTTTTCTGGGATGCCCAACAGAGTTTTTTTGTTGGCAGTCTTGGCAAAAAAGATGGAAAGTACCTAATGCGGAGTAGATGGGGTCAGAATAATATGCACTCAAATAGAGATAGTGTTAAGTACAAATTATACCTGCTCTGGTGTGTCTTCAATAGAGACTTTAATAGTTTGGCTGATAGTTTGGATGTGAATGACCACCAGGATAAAGCCATTACTGACCTAAAAAAATATAATAAGAAAAAATCTGGTAAGATGGCTATATCGAAGGCACAAAATAATTTCATCCATTAATGACATGTATAATTTTTAAATAATGTAATATGGTTTGATTTTGTAAATTACTTCAGTTACGCCAAATCTCTAATACATTTAAGGTTCCACAATTGTTACAAGCACTTTTTGCCATTTTTTTAACACTATTAATAATTCCTTAGCTGAAGCTTCTAAAGGCGATGGTTTCTGGTTGAGGGTCTGTCGCTCATGCTTATGAAACCACTCAATTTTCCTTTATTACCCCCAGATTCATTTGCGATCGTGGTGGCTAACTTAGTCTTAACTGCTGTACCTTGCTGAGGAGGTGTAGAGGCAGTGGTTTACAGGTGACCCAGGGATCCATGGAGTAGAGGCGGGGGTCCCTGTCACTCAACTCAATCCTGCGCGGCGTCAACAGTTTCCTTCGGGTAAACTCCAGCTCATCATCATGCACGTTACTCACATCTGTGACGTCGTAGCCTATCAGGTGGTTCAGATAACGCTGGTACTGCACTGACTGCTCTGTGGGCTGTGGACGCTGCATCATCTGGATACGACCTACATCTTTCTTCAAAGCTTTCACAACACAAAAGGATTACACATACATTATCAATATTATAGTTATTTTCCACAATGAGTGTTTAAATCCAGGTTCAAAACAGTTTTGTTTAACTTTGCATATGAGTCTTGCTTGTGGTGAAAAATAAGCCTAATACCATACTCTGGAACATTCCAGGCAAAGAAATAAAATCTTCATGGGCACAAACAAGTGGTGTACCCTCCATCAAAAAGTTACAGAGTGCACCTGTAATTCTTATTTCCCCCAGACCCCCAGGTATGATCTGTAGCAAAATACAATTCTGTCAATTGGACAATAGAGTGAAAATGTTTTGGTGCTCAGCTATGATTTTGGCCCATATTAAATAAGCTCATACTGATCACTTCTAAGGGAAACTGGAAACACCCTGTTTTAGTAAACACATGGTTGAGCTTGTCCTATACCTCTCCAGTAGCGAATGCAGTCCAGTGTTTGGAAGACTTGGTGTTTATCATAGATTTCACACACGGTGCCTTTCTTCTGATACAGGAGGATGCAGTGGTCTGGAGAAAACCTCTGGTAAAACTCCGGACACAGATTTGATGTAACTGCTTTCAGCCACACCTGAGCTTTAACCTGGAGAAGCACAAATAAACAGAATACAATAGGTTAGTACAGCTTTCTTTAATCAGTACAAGACACAAATGTACTTATATTTAATTGTGAGTTATTCATTCAGGTTTTTACAGTGATGACTCAAAATAATTTCAAAACAGTGAGGGTTTGAGCAAGACAAAACTTACATATTTTAAAGCAAGTGGAGGTAAATCTCAAAATAAGCTGGACAAAGTATAGACTAGCAGTGAGATGAAACACAACTTATAACATGATTTGCATATTGCTCCTAATATAGACACTGTTTGCTAAAAGTTTGCATATGGCATAATTTCTTTGCCTTCAGTATCTATGAGGCCAGGTTAAAATATGTTGTTATAAAGAAGAAGATCATTTATTTTCACTCTGATAATTAACTTAAATTCATGTTCAGATGTTTTGTTTTGTTTTTTTTGTTTGTTTGTTTTTTTTTTTTTGTTTTGTATCATTGTTTTGTATCGATTACTATTTAGGTTAATTGTTGCTCTTAAAAATGCACTGTGTAACTTTTCTTGTGGAGGGTTTGTTCTCCATGCAACAAAGCAATATTATCTACATGGAGACACACAGGTGGCAGACTCTAAACCAGAAATGTTCCACAGTGCATCTTTACTGTGATATTATTACTATGTTGTACCTGCTCCACTGTCCAGTTGCCAGCCACCTGTATCTGCAGAGTGTCAGGACTGCTCCCTCCACGTGCTGCTGTGGGCAAGACAAACTCCACACACACCTGGTCCATGGTCGTGTGGGACAGAGGGCAGATGGCCTTCTTCCTCCTCCTGTGTCTGGGGTCACGTATCACTACAACCTCTTCGTCACTCAGTTGCACCGGCTGCTCCCGGTCCATCACCTAACTGTACCTCAGGCGTCAACAGAGAACCATTTTAACAAGAAATCACCAAGAGCAGGTCAAGTTATAGATGAGTGAGCTAAAATAATTTTCCTATCTGAGTCAGGCAGCCAAAAATTGCCTGCTTATATGAATACTCTAATTTGAACACCTTGTTATAGAGTATTTTAATATACTATAACATTGCAACAATGAAGCATGAAAAACACGTTTTTGTAATTTTTAAAACACATAATACATGGGTAATTAGATTTGATAAACTTGTCACTTAACTTCCATTTCTTAAATTATGAGGAATAAATGTTTCTCTTCATATTTTGCTTGTCAAATATATTGAATAGAAAATGTAAAAAAGTGCATTGTACTCTGTATGCAGATGTGTCCTCTTGACTTACGCTACTATTCTATAAAGACAAAGCTCATAACTATAGAAATAGGCTTTCAATAAAATGTAATTTGGGCTTCTGGGCATTAGTAAATAAGGTAAAATGATGGAAACTGGTTTATAAATACAGATGACTAGGTTACATAAAGTTAAGTGCGCGGACACAGTTTCCGTTATGCTTATTTCACATGAGCAGGGGAAGTTTCCAAAAGCAGGAAGCAAAACTAGGCAAGTTTGTAGCAATAACAACTCAACAGACTCGTGTTATTCACATATATATCACACACGGAGTTAGCTTTATAGTTGTCATTACTAATACAGCAGTGACATGATGAAAAAGTGACCGTAGAAATACCAGCTGTCAACGCGCGATGTAACGGTCCCGTGCGAAACTATTGCGGACACACTCATGACTTTATATAGGAAAATAAAAACTGTTTTCCGCTTGAACTTACCAAGGCGCCAGGACGGAGAAGGCATTGAAACAAGAGCACTGGAGCAAAGATAATGACATCAAAGCTACAAAAGTGAGATCGAAGTTGTTTACAGAAAGAGTAACAGTTATAAAAAGTCTGGAGTGAGGAGAGGGCAGGACAGGAAAAACGCCAAGTTCAGTGAACCACAGGACCATGCATACACACCCGGTTACGACCTTTCAAAATAAAACTCCATGCGCTAATAATTCAGAATGGATTATCAATATTTTAGATTAAATTTAAAATGAGATACTATCTTTTTTTTTTGGTATGACTTTTCATCCATAACGAATACCCTTTTTTCCTCGTCCTTTCCCCCCTCGTTTGCCTTCAAGCGTCTATAATTAAAGTTTACCGGATATACTAAAGAGAATTCAATCCAACTTGCATAAAAAGATTCAATAGGTTAGTAAGAGACAATTTATTACTGTAAACAAATTGTTGTTTTTCCTCTAAGATTAAAGAGCTTTTATTTTTATTTTATTTTATTTTACATTTCCTGTTGGCATCCATAAATTTAATACTTGATTAAAGTGACCTGGGGTGCTTTTCTGGGTCTATGTTATTCTTTGTAATTTCCACTAGAGGGCGGTAAATTATCACATGAGCAGACCGACTGATGGATTTCATGTTGAGTTTAAGATATAAGGAGGACAAATGGTGTTCATTTCAAGCATACAAATCCAAAATTAAATTACAGAGTGTGTAAGAACATGCAGTGTCTGTCTTGCTCAATATTTAAACCAAAAGACATGTGATATGCTGATGTTTAAATTTTTTTTTTTTTTTTCATTGTTACATGTTGGTTTTAGAGAGATTTGACATAAGAGACATTAAATAATTACAAAAATTTATCTCAAACAAAAATATTTTATTTCAATACATAGCAGTTACAGTACAGTATTAAATAGGCTTATTTTATTTATATTGTAATTCAATCATGATGAAAATAACTAAAGTGCAAGTGTTTCAATACAAACAGAAATAAGTGGTTGTGACCTGACTTCACAAGATTTTTTAATTACAACAGAAAACAAATGTGTGTACTGTATAGGGTTCTAGTCATGTGATCCAGTGTGATGTACCTCTCATAGGAAAATAAGGAAGACGTAACTATTTATGAAGTGCTGCTTTAGTAACAAATTGAATGAAACCATGTAAGTGTGCTTCACATTAATGGTTCTTTCTGCAAAATACAAGAATATATTAGCTCTTCTGTTAGATACAGGCTGGATAGGATGTGTCATACAAAAGTCCTTCATGAATAATTGTTTTGTTAAAAGGACAAAATGAAATGTTTGTCCTTCCTTTTTACCTCCTACAAGTAAACTAAATAACAAAATTAAGTTTTTAGGTTCACAAAAAGTCAGTAACCACAATGAGAACATTGCTTTCTTCATCCTTATTTTCATTGTTCCTTAATATCTTCTTCATCCACAGTTTTTTTTAAGTGTTCAAACTCCAAATGTTTCAATCTTCAGTCCACATTGCTTACCAAGCCCATTAATTTTCCAAGTGAAGTGTGTCTGGACTTTAAACCTTTTGGAGTCTAACAAATAAGCTAGCAGTAATTTTGTCTTGTTTTGCTGATGGTGGTTGTTTATTTCTTTTATAGTAATTGCATAGGTGTGGAAGTGTTTTACTGACTGTTTTCCAGTTAGGCAAAAAGTTGTATTTCTTGTCCCAGGAAATCCAAATTAAAACTTTGAGTTGATTTAAAAAAAAAAAAAAAAAAGAATATTAATAATCTTATTATACAAACAAAGCCACAAACAATTGATAGAGAACAAAGTATGGGTTCCTGTTTAGTCCAAAAAGTAAGACATGTCTGTAAAAAGCATGCACCTGCTTGTTTTCACTTACACTGTCCATTTTAAACCACAGTCCTTTGCAATAGTCCAGCTGCTAAAAAAAAAAAACAGCCAATCACTTCAAAGCACATCTAGTTGCTGTTATTGCCATGGTCTCTGTGTGGCGGGGTTAGGGTTGGGGTATATGGGAGCAGCCGAGGGGTATGTGGGTACAGTTGTGTTCGGGTTGGGGGGGTATGTTGGGGTGGGATACTGGGGCATCATGTGTGTCTGACTGCGACTGTGGCTGGTGGTATGAGCCGGAGAGGAGGCTGTGGAAGAGGAGGAGTGGGGTAAGTGTAGGTAGTGGGGGGCTGTAGGTGCAGAAGGAGCAGAGGGAGGGGCAGATGGGGCAGTTGGTGTGGGCACCCTCTGCAGGACGACGTGGGGGTACAGCTGGGAGTCTGAGCGATATAGGCCAGAGAGAGATGCCTTCAGTAGACTCTCCTGGCTCCTGCAAGAAAAAGAGAGAGATTATATGACACATACAGGGAGGTTACCACATGGTTACCAAAAGTCTGTTATTAATTTTACGATATATTTATTTATATGCAGACTGCTGTATTAATATGAACAAACATGGGGTAACATGCGGTTTTAATATTATGTCATATTATTTAGTTCCTGTGTAGTTTGTAGTTAGTCCAAAAAATTAAACAGAATGTATTTAGTGGCTGTTCTGTACCTCTGATATCCCCTGTTCTCATAGCCGCTGAGTCCTCCGGTCAGGTAAAGGGGGCTGTCGGGGGCGAGGCGTGGGTTCATTCTTTGGGACAGGTGGAATATCTTTGGTGGAGCGAAGGACTCCCATTCTCCCTCCTCTCTCTCCCACTCTGAGCGGCGGGACGAGCGCTTCTCCCTGCGTCTGGGACAACAAACATTCAAAAGATATAATATTGTATTGTATAATATCATAAACTGTTAACTGCTAATGGTTCTAGTTTTAAATAATTGCGAAACCCATGGATGGATTGATGGGGAAAAGTCTACACAGAAAGATCTCACCTGGCCCAAAAAAATGGCAGGACTCTTTCTCTGTGAGGCAGTAATGCTACCCACTTATCCACCATGCTGCCAAAACACTACATTCCTGTTTCAGTTCATTTTCGTCAAGCATAACAATATAGAATAAAATAAACTTTATTTTCCCCTGAGAGCAATTTCTCTTGGACTCAGTGTAACGTTTGCTATATGACGCTGTGAAAAAGACAAAAATCAATAGCAAAAAAAAATCTGTATAAATACATTCTTGAAAGATTTCTCATTTCATTGTTGTTTTGTTGAGGTTTTAGTTTGCTGATACAACAGTTCTCTCTGTGTCTATAGGTACAGTGCCCCTCTCCAGTACCTGAGGCGGCCCTCCTTCTTGACGCGCAGTCTGGAGGCTCTCTCCTGGAGGCAGCAGATGAGGAAGGACAGGGACATAGCCAGGATCACCACTCCACTCACCACTGAGGCCAGCACCGCCACCCGCAGACCCCTGTCCTGAGGCCTGGGGATCGCTGCAATCACAAAACACTCTTACTTTCTCAGATAAGTGTATGCATTTCACTTGTTACAAACTATTTACAAATGTACATATGTAATTAACTGCCCAAATTATTGTCATTGTTATCTGTCAACAGCACTCTCAATAATGTTTGGTTTGATACAATTTCTTATTGAATTGGATGAGAATTTGAGGGATGAAGAACCCTTTTTAAAGAAAAGCAAATTCCACATATCATATATTGTAGTCTTCACATATACTAAAAATTTTGTAATTCAAATGCACCGATTGCAAATATTACTGCACTGTATTATTGTAGGTGTAATATTCCACACTATGGCATATAATAAATCTATCTCTCAGTTGGGTGAAACTACTACGATAAGTCAGATCTGTGGAGAGGAGAACCTGCTAACAATAAGAATATATGTTTTTCAACATATTTTTTTCCAGGTATAAAATAAAACACCTCTAATTGAAAAAATGAAAAGTAGATCATACTCTAGAGCATTCCAGTCAAAGAAATAACATCTCCATGGACACAAGCAGAAAGTTACATATTGCACTGTTAATTATAAAATAATTTTAAAAATGTAAAATAAAAAAAGGTACATAGTTTGTATTTGGAAAATATTTTTCCCAAATCCTTCTCCCCAGCTGTTTCCTCCTCCTCTGGGGTCTGTAGAAGAGTTCACCTGACACATTTGCGTGTTCAGGACTGTGTGAAATGTGGTGTGGTGCTTCATTAGCGTTGCTCCACAAACTGCAGCACATTTAACGCACAACTAAACCAAAGGAACAACTGTTTTATCTGCTCACTCTAAACCAGGACATGAGCCTTACAATAGAGATACATGCACCATATTCAAAATTTATAATGTAATTTAACAAGACATCGCAGACCCGCTTACAGTCACGCTAACAGACAAATGAATCTCTGTCTCTTTCCAGCCGTTCTTGATTACTTTTTCATACCATAGCATATCTTCGCTAGCAAGAGTATGTAGTTACAATATGGGGTCTCCATTTACATACTGATATTTCTTTTTATTTAAAGGTGCACTTTGTAACGTTTCTGGTATGAGTCCAGAATTACATAATAATCTTGCTTATTATGTAATTATAGGTGTTTGTTTGTTTACAATAAAACAATACCTTGAAAAATATGCAGCCCACCTCCTCACAAACCACACTTGTAAATTGGCATGGTTCTTGTCTCCATGAAAATAGATATGTTAACTATCATACTATGAAAAATTCCAGGCAAAGCAACATCTCCATGATAACAGACTCTCCACCTGGAAAGTTACACAGTACACCTATAATTTAAAGTAAGATAATATTGCTGTAGAGATACAAATGATATGTAACAGTATTTTTGGCTCAATCTGACTGGAACAGAACTCAGTATTCCAGTAAAGCTATTTTCATATAAACTGTTCAAAATTAAAATCAACACAAGAAATATTGAACCTATTTATGTTAGACAATGGATCCTTTATTTATTTATATCACAACTACATCATAAGTTTATGTGCAAATAACTTCTATCCCAGCTAAACACCAGTGGCAGAACGTAACAAAGTAAAAGTTGTAAAGTACTGGCTTAAACATAAATCTTATAAATCTACTGTACATTTTAAAGTGGATACTTTTTACTGCACTACATTTGAGTACAGATATCTGTGCTTTTACTCCAACACATCTTTGAACAGAACTATTTTTAACATGCTAATAATTTGAGCCAACAAAATTATACAAATGAAAACAGCTAGGAAAAAAACAACCAATTCAGAGTTTCTACTAAACCAAATTCATCTTTAAAAAAAATCTGTACATTTGAAGCTTTATTAGCTTTCAAAATCTGTGCAAAATATTGTTTACTCTTTTATTACAGTTTTAAACAGGTATTTTAATACTTTTATGTGATACTTTTACTTTTACTTGAGTATTTTTTTATTCCCGGTATCTGAACTTCAACTTAAGTAACACAACTGAGTACTTTTTCCACCATAGCTGAACTCTACAGGCCGTACCTTCACACACGGGCAGGTAATTGCTCCACTGTGCTTTGCCGTTCTTCACATTACACTGGATCTTATCACTGCCCACGAGCTGGAACCCGTCCCTGCACCAGAAGGCCAGAACACTGCCTACAGAGAGACCAGTGCCCCCCTCCACGAAGAAGGACCCTCTTCTGGGGGGTAGTACTGGAATACATGAGAGACCTGGGACACAGGGAGAGAAGGGAGGAAGAGTTATGAAATATACTATAATACAATTGGATGAAACACAGAAAACTAAACTGACTCTAACTGAAGATATTACAGGCCTTTGCATGTGTATTTGCACTGATTAATAAAAAATAGATTAGAACTGAACTGTGCTTTCTATGCTTAAGCTTCTCAGAGCGCATTACTCCCATTTTAATCATGCTGGTGGTAATGCAGGGCAGACTGGCAGAGATGTGGCAGCGAAACTGTGGCAATATCCTATGTGAAATTCATCACAAACAAAAAAAACAAGGAGACAACAAGAGCAAATAGCATCTTAAATGTAATGGATTCGGAATTGAACTATCAATTATAGTTTATGCACAACCTTTTCTTTGATGGATTTGAGTTTTGGTTATGGCATTAAAATAAAATATTTTTCTTGGAAACAAAATACAATTGTCAATTTAAACATTAAAAACTAAAATGAATGTCAGTGCTGAAATGCAATAGATAGAAACAGTATCAGTGATGGTAAATAAAACAGAAAGGTATAGATGGAAAACAAAAGTCAAATTATATTCCAAATAATTGATTGTTTTATATTAGTGGTTCTAAAACTTTTCACACCACAACACCACATAGGATAATATTCAGCGTTCTGAGTACCAACAGATCTAAACCTAGACTTTACCAAGACTTTGTTAAGGCTAAGCATGTTCTAAAATGAGACAAAATCATGGATAAGGTGCAGTTCTAATTTCTAGGACAGAAAACTATATATATCAAATATATTTGCCTGTAAATAAAAAAATACTCTGCAGAGGGTCTTGTATACTGCCAAAGGGAGCTGTTCTTTCCTATATAAATAATGGTCTTCTATAACTACTAAAACAAGAACATTTCTGCTCTGTAGTCTTGTATACCATAGCCTCATATCATACTCATGCTATGTCCTCTCCTGTCAGTTTGGTCTTGCTGTGTTCCCATGTGTTTCCTCAGTAGGACATTACCATTGGCTGAACAGAAACTGCACTATTTTTATCGTCTTGCTACAGTCCATAAACACAGAGCTCTCGTGATCTGGGGAAACAGTGGAGTCTGATGCAGAGATTCAAATCACATCAGAAGTCCAGCAGCAAGTATGGCTACATTATTTTCTGCAACGTTGCACTAATTATCACACAATTCACAGAGAGGCTAATGCTAATTGTAGCTGATAGGGTATATGAGTTTATACTGTTTGTACCTAATGGGCACCCTTATATTTGTGGTAATAATATTGTGAAACCAGTGGCTTGGAAATGAAGTACCAAACAAGAAGCAGAAAGGAAAAGCTAAAATGTATTGAGTTGGCTATTAAAGTCCTATATTATGCAAAATGGATTCTTATGAGATCTAAGCGACCTTATCAAAAACACACCTAGAGTTGTGTTTTGTTTCATTCACACATGTTTGAGTAACCCTTTATTATTAGTCTAACTACATTTCCAAAGCTCAGAATGCTCTTTTCCATGTCATTTAGTGGTAGTTTCCAAGTAAACAATTACCTTTTACCTTTAGTTCAATAGAGATTGGCAGTTTCAGGGCTGAAATCATTGAAATGATTCTAATGAAGTATGGAGTTTAAAAATGGTGGACCATTTCCTTTTATTTCCACATGCAATTACAAGGTGGAGTGTTTTCAGTTTGAGAGAAGAGCTAAGCCTAAATACACAAGGTTTGTGCATTAAACATGTGTGAATGAAACAAAACACAGCTCACGGTATATTTTTAATGAGGAAATAACATTATAACAGATCAAAAAATAGAAATACCGGCCCTTTAAAATAGACAGAATGAAGCATTGTGCAACACTCTGGTGGGTGAGTCCAACAATGCTTGTCTTCATAGAGATGTTATTGCTTTGCACTTATTCTCTTTGCAGGTCTTTTTACTGCTGAAAGAATACAATGTGAGCAAGGGCGACTCTCCACAAATCTAACCTGTAACTTGGCTTTGTGGAATCTCCTGTTTGTCTCAGTGGAGATAGGTGAGTTCAAGTCCATACTGTGTAAGATTACAGGCAAAGCAATAGCAGCTCCAATGAAGAATTAGACAATTTTAGTGCAGGAGACATAAGTGTGGCAGTCATACTGTTGTCTCTTTTGTTTCTGTCAGTGTTAAAAGCTCCGTTAGAACAAACAGCCCATAGACTGTTATGCTCAGATCATGTCCTTGTATCCAGTGACTGCATCAGCACGTGTCCCTCTGTGTGCTCTGTCTGTATGTGTCATCTTTACCTCCTCCCCTCTCTCCCTTTTTCTCTATCTAATCCTTTCTTTCCTCCTCCTCACCCCTTCTCTCACTCATTCACTTTCTCTCTTCATGTCCCCCCCTCTTCCTCCTCTCTCTTCCTCCTATCCTCTTCTTTCCCTGTCTCTGTCTTCTCTTATTCTTCCCTCCTCTACTCTCCACTGTCTCTTTCCTTCGTTGTCTACTCTCTCTGTTTCCCCTAGCATCTCTCTCCCTCTTCCCCCGTCTCCGTCTCTCATCTCTCATCTCTCTCTTTCTTCCTCTTCTCCCCTCTGTCTCTCTCCTCCTCATTCACCCTCCCTCTTTCTCTTCTCTTCTCTGTATGTGTAAACCCAGTGTAGAAATCCTCCATCTGTCTCTGCTCTGGACAGCTTGCATGTTCACAGAGTCTCTAATACCACGGCTCTTCACTCAGAGATTAGTCTAAATCTGACACAGCACAGTCACTGCAGCAGACTCACGTGAACTGAACTCACTACAGATGAGAGGATTATGCACTGTGACAGGTTGGAAAAGCAACTTTGAAATGAAAGATAGTGTTTAGTTTTTGCAAGAGAAAGGGGAAGGGGGGCAATTGGACAAGAAATGGACAATGGACAAGAGAGAAGTATTAGTGTTTTCTAACTTTTAACTTGGGGCAAGGTTGCACGTTTTGAAATGTGTACTGAAGAATAGAACAGAACTCATCAAAAACACTTGGAATTGTGTTTTCTTTCATTCACACATGTTTAACACAAATATTTATAGGCTGCATAGTTAGGCTGGGTTCTTCTCAACTAAAAACACACTTTTCTACATCGTGATGTCTTGTGCTAATACAGGAAGTGCTCCACTGCTTTCTGAGTTTTGGAGATGTAGACAGACTAATAATCCAGGATTACTCAAACATGTGTAAATAAAACAAAACACTCCATGTATGTTTTAGATGAGGAAACTACATACTACAGTATCTTAAATCTCACAAGAGTCATGTTGGTTATATAGCTCCTCTAACTACACCTTAATAGGAACAGCCTTAAAAGCATGAACAAAGAATTAATCCATACTGAATAAATAATGAATAAATGGTTCAGACTTAGTATCTATAATAAATAGCCTAATACTCTAACCTTATAATCCCTTTATTAGTTACTGAGCCTGAATCTAGTGGTACCTAGAATGGAAAAGAAGCCTGACAGGGAAGGTTGGAGTAGCTGTATAGCTGGACTATGTGGGGATGGCCAGTAATAGGAAGATTTTAGGTCTGATTCCTGCTTTATCTCTGGTATTTAAAGATGCACTGTGTAACTTGTTTGGTGGAGGGTCAGTCAGCTGCTTGTCTCCAAGGAGATGTGCCTATAATTTTCCACAGCACAGCCATAAACCTATAGATCCCATAGAGACTTGTGTGCCAAATTACAGTTGTAAAAGCAGTAGTAGCAGTACAGTAGTTGTAGTAGTAGAGATAAAAGATGGCTTATAAACCATAAACCAACAGACTGATGCTTACAGTCCCCTATGCCTCACTTCCTTGTTTGTGATGTAGTGTAATTCCCCAAAGAAAACCCATATATTCACCACTAGCACCAGAGGCATCCACACGTGCTGCACTGAGAGAGACCTCACTTACATAAAGACAGATGAAATATTGAAGACATGACGTGACGCTGAAGCCTGAGGCCTGAGAGGAGATGGTTTAGGAAGCTGTTGTCAAGCAAGAAACTCCCTAAAGCCCAAGATAGTTATATCTTCATCTGTGTACAAGCAAATAGGACTATAAGTGATCAATATTTGCAGTGGTACAGCCTGAAAAATCACTGTTAATAAAAATTACTAATTTCCAATACTGAGTTACTGTGTAAAAGCCAGTGCCCACATGGTATTATAATGTAATGTAAACAATCTGAAATACTAAGTGCTTATGTGATCTATAACTTCCATTTCCTGCTATTTGCTAATGAGAGCAGATGTAGCTTTAGAAATAGTCCTAACTTTGACTTTTTAAGGCATGACATAAGATAGTGCTATAACTACAAATGTAGTTAATACGATTAACTGAGATTCAGGAGCATCACCACGCCTCAGCCGCCCTCTCCTCTCACCAGCGAACCACAACTCACCTCGATCACGCCTCTAATTTCCCAGAAGCCTATATGTAGCAGCCTTTCCCATCATCCCAGTTTGTCTCGGCTAACTCGACCCCACCCTCCCATCCCCTATTTTGTCTTTCAGTCATAAGACCCCTACAAGGGGGGTCCCGTTCCGGCTGGGCCAATTGTAGATTGAGACGGAGCCCCCACCCATAGTCTCAACCCAGCCATCTTTGCCTTGCTTCGTACATTATCAATAAACTTCTTCGCACTATGTCGTTGCTGGCGTGGTCCTAGCTAGTGAACTATATTTAAATAGATTCTTGTGAGCTTTAAGCCATGTTATAGTGTTGTTACATCATCAGAAACATACCTGGAGTTAGGTAATCCTTTATTATTAGTCTGTCTACATCTCCTGCTGCTCTGTTCCACCTTCTGATGTCATTTAGTGGTAGTTTTCAAGTTAACAGCAAACTTTTATCTTTAGTAGTAGAGATTGGCAATTCTAGGGTTGAAATCATCCAAATATTCTAGTGAAGGTGTATGGAGCACTTTCTGCTTGAGAGAGGAACTCAACCTACAAATGCAAGATTTGTGCATCACCATGTGTGAATGAAACAAAACACAACTCCTGATATGTTTGTACTGATA